AGTTCTATAGTACTTCACCTACACCTCATCACCATCTAAAGTTCATCACACGGTCATAGTTGTCCTATAGTATTTGAATTTTTATAATTATTGTACTAATCATATTTATCTAAAATTTGAGACGTGTGCATACAACAAAGTCGCACCAAAATAAAATATTTTAAAAAAATAGTCATAAAATAAAATAACGAAATTACCCCTGAAACTTTATAGGGGTATTTTGCATAATTTTTATCATTCAAATTATTTGTGTTGTATTTTATTCATGTGAATCTCACTAAGGCGCACACACCTACAAAATTTCAGATCATTATGATATATAAATATATATATTAAAATCCAAACACTATCAGACATCTGTGACCGTGTGACAGAACTCTGAACGGTTTAAGTATTGTAGAACTTCACCTATATGAGCTTTTTAGTGTTTTTCATATATATATATATTAAAAAAATCCCAATTGGACCGCCAAAACTAGTTAAAATTAGATTAGCCAGTACCCGGTTTTGATTTGACTAGCCGATTTTGAGTTGGACCGGCCGAATTTACAAACATTGCTCTTTCTCTCTCTCAATTCTAAAAAATTTGCATTCCACACCGTTCTCTCTGTCTCTCTCACGAATCACAATTCACTCTCTCATAATTCTCAAAATTTACATTCCACACCATTCTCTCTCTGTCTCTCTCATGTGTAACAATTCTCTCTCTCACTCTCTCTCTTCTCTCAGGCATGAAACCACGGGCATTCATATTGGACAAGACTACCAAAAGTCTCCCAATTTATACTCATGAAGAGTATAGTATCCAGTTCCAACAACCTCTAGTCACAATTACCCCTGGTAACTTGAATTTATCTTGAATTTTCTTGCGAGAAGATCAAGGGCAGATAATATCTGCAATATTATTACGATCAAATTAACTTATCACCATCCTAAAGGGATCTAAATTATATGGGAAAATATAGAATGAGATAATTTACTTTTGATCCAAGGTGATCACATTAATTTTGACTATGGGATGTGAAATTGGGTGGCTGCAATTATTCCATTGACCAAGCTCAAACTTCAAAATAAATTTTCTTGAATTTTGTGACACATC